TCTTCTTCTTCTTCTTCTTCTTCTTCTTCTTCTTCTTCTTCTTCTTCCCTCCCAGTTTTTTGCCTCCTGGGCTTCAGGGAAATCTCCAGGGAAGTGTCTTCCCCAGGGCCCAGGAAAGCTAAAAACAGAGTGTGGGGAAGGTGCACCCCCTGTGCTTCGTTTTTGGGACTCCTGGCCCTCAGGGAAGCCTCTAGGGGGCATTTTTGCTCCCAGGGAGCTTCCAGGGAGCCCAGGAAGGCAATGGGCCCAAGAAGGAAGCAACCTCCTGCCCCTGTGCACCCCTTTTTACCTCCTGGGCTTCAGGGAAGCCTCCTGGGCAAAGCAGGAAGACAGTGAGAAGGAAGGATCCAGTGCAGCTGATCATTGGAACAGCTGATTATCAGGAGGAAAAGAAAGAAAGAAATATGGTAAGGTGTAACTGGGTGGGGGAGAATGCAGTCAGCGATGTCATGCATGAGAGATAAGGACTGACTGGGTGGGACAGGGAGGAGCAGGCAGACAGTGGTGGGGCCAGCCAGGGGCACAATTTGCTGGTTCTCCTAACTGTGCAGAATCATAACAACCAGTTCTATAGAACCAGTCTGAACTGGTAGAATCCCATCCTGATAATGACTATATATGACTTCTATGTTTTCTTTAATTTAAAATTTTTTTTTTTCAATTGCAAAATTGAGAGAAACAGCAACATCTCGGTATACAGTTCTCGCAATTCAATTTTTTTCCTGCATAAAATATCATTAGTCTCTCCAACCTACATTGCAATATTTTAAAAATTCTTCCAATTCTGGTATTTGCATCTCATTCTTCAATTCATATTTATATTTACTAAAAGAATCCTAAAGAATGCACTTAAACAGTTGGCATGAGCTTAAATGGACTCTGGGGAATGGTATAGGACAGAAAGGCCTGGAGTAATGTTGTCCATGGGTTTGTGAGGGTCAGACATGACTTTGTGACTAACAACCACAAAGAGTGCATTATCCAAGTGTATCATTCTTTTTCTGAAGAGAAAGATTACATGGGAGCATATGAAAACATCTGTAATCATTTTGATATTCTATTGCCGAATTAAACAGTGACCTGTCTTTATGCTATACAATTAGCTGTTCAGTTGATTTTGGCCATCACTAAATAAATGGCTACCTTCCCTGGCTGCTAAATCAGAGACTTGTGGATGTGCACCTACACACTGATGCACATATGCACCTTTCAAACATACACATATTAATCTCTTCCCCTTCTTAGTTCTCCTTTTCTCTGCAATTTTGAATACTATTTCTTGGACGATCACAAATATTTGCAATCCTATCAATTCTGCTTATAGGACTTCTCACTTCAATAAAATGGTGATTTTCAGTAGATTCTTTGCCATATATTTTGAGAGCCAGGAAAATCTACAGAATAGTCTGGCTGCCAGTAGTGTGGCTCACTATGACTGCAGGTCCCATGTCAAACTGTAGAGCACGTCATGACTGGCCGTAAGCTGAGGAGATATACCAGCCCAGTATCTGTTTTTTTTTTTAAATATAAACAATGCTGTGTTTCAATGGTTAGATAACCCAGATATTGGTATTTGAAAATAGATCTTTTTAATATTTAAATTTTATTGTGTTTTACTAATGTAGATAAAATGTTAATATATATTACCAGGATATGTATGATATGCCATACACTAAATAAATAAATAAATTAGCAAAGAGAAAAATATCTTCTCTCCTTTTAAATCTGACAAAGGTTGCTTGTTTTTCATCACTGTTAATGGTGGTAAGCCCTGCAATCATCTGATTCATGATTAACAGACGACACGTTTTCCTCCTTCTTAAAACCAGTGATGCATTCCCTTTTGATCATTATGATCAACTGTTAATCAAATGGACAAAAATATCTGAGGTGTCATGGATAGTACTTCTCATGCAAACATTTCATGAAGTCTGGCCTCTACTTTGGTTAATTCTGGATTAGATGGAGTTTGAGGTAATGCAGTAGAGCTTTAATTCTGAATTAATTGGTTTCAGACTATGGATTAAGTAAAACTTTTAATTTTATTTAGCAAGTTTCCTGAATGAAATTGTTTTCCATTAAAATATATTACCAAGAAAAGATGAGTCAATTGACATTCTTTTCCAATTTTATTAAAATTTTTACATATTATTTCTATACAACATGAGAGTTTTCCTGCTAGAGTGCAGATATTTGTCATTGTCTGCCAGGTGATTATATTGACATTTAGATGCCCACATGGATGGAAAGCCACCCCTTAAATAATAGATGTATTATATACATTCATCTCTTCTTTTGCTTGTTTCGCAAAGTTTTGAATTTTCTGATATCACTAATTGTGCAACATGCAGCATCCAAGGGACATTTTCATTTTGGAAAATAGCTCTTAGAAAATAAAAACAAGTTTCTAGATGCTCATATTGAATACATTTGCTTTAAGCAATTCTTCAGACTTCTAATAAATGTTTATGCACTACTTAGCTGTGTTTTGTCCTTACCTAATCATGCAATATGTTTTTTTTTTATTTCTTATCATTTTTCCTAGGTAGCAGGGATCAAAGGAATATTGCTGGCTAACAAGAAAGTAGAAGACCAAATAAAAACGTTCATCACCTATAACAAAGGAAGAGACTGGCATTTGCTACAGGCTCCAGATTCTGACCTGAGAGGGGATCCCATTCACTGTCTGCTGGTCAGTGATGGAAAATTTCTAAGCTCAATTTTTTTGATCAATTTCCCAAGCCCAAATAGAAAAGGAACTTATTGATGTCTATGGAATACTTCCTTGAAATTCAGCCCTGTATAGTTAATGGATCACAATGTTTCCACAAAAAAAAATATTCAAGGAAACATTTGAACATTTTATAACAGGCTGTGAATTTATCTTAAATTTCATTGCTTTCTACAGAAAGAGGGGCTGGAAAGATTATTTAATTATACAGTACTATGTTTCCAACTTTAGAAGGCAAAATGATTTAGTAATTTTACTTCACTAAAGTCAAATCGGAAACAAATCATACCATATGATCTGAACTGCTATCTGCCATTGAAACTGAAAATCCATGAAAGGAAAGCTCTTGAATAATACTGGGTGTGTAGCAAGTTTTCTGGAGGAGGAGATTTTCATAATTATTTCATAATAGGTACAGAAGCCAAAATGCCTTTCACGTTACGTGATGTGTAAACCCACATAAGTAACAATAACAATTTTTCTTTGGAAATGAATTGTTGTTGTTGTTGATGGGGATGATACTATTTTTAAATGAAGAAAATTTTAACATTGATATAAAGAGGATAGATTAGCCTATATCCTCAACGT